ATCATTTTTTTAACGTAATAACGTAAAATCCAAGGACAAAAAAAAAAAAAAAAATTTGATCCCTAATGTTAAAATCAGAATTCAGATATTAAATGAATTGATCATTTTTCTAACCTCTTGTTTTTTTTCAAACCACCATCTCGGACACTGGATCAGAGATCAACTTCAAGAAGGTTGGGTTGCATATTCCATGAAACATTTAAGTCATAGACTGGTCAAGGAGATGGTAGTTGCCCACCCTGACAAGTTCTACGAGATTGTCATCAATCTCCTTCACCGCATAGAAAACTATTCCTATAAAAAACATGAAATAAAATAAATTTTACTCACGCATCCAATATATCCATTATTTTAATCAGCAAATTTCGAAAATCCTGACCAGCACTATCTTCTATTATTTTTTCGTTATCAGCCTTCGGAGCTTCATCTCTAGAAGTACGTCGTTGCTTCTTAACCATTTCTACTAGTCGGTTGTCAAATGTAGCGGGTGATGTTTAAGCGTCACACAAAAAGCGCAATTCACAGAGTATACACGTTTTGTGAGAAATTCAAATGGTATTGAATAAGTCTAAAGACAAGATCGCTCTAAATCTAGACACAACTTTGTTTCCTAATTCAATCTTGCCTTTTGATATAGAATATCGGAATAAATCGGTAAACCCTTACAATGACCTAAACGTGTCTGTGCTGCAAACATACGAGACTGAAATTCTGTTACGTATCGTTATATTTTTTTTTTAACAATCATATAAAATTAGTTTGATTGGATCGTTTTTGATTTGTTCATCGAATATAGATGCTGGTGAAACTCTTTGGTGAATGGTGGTGAAACTGTTGAAATTTAATATAACAACCAATCACATTTTAGATAGTCACCAGTAAGTTTGCCAGCCGTAGGTAATAATTACAGACACTACGAATTACAACCCGGATTGTTACCCTAATTACAACTAATACTCGAAGTTGTAAATATGCCGTAATGCTGTAATGGTTATAACTGTCGTAATGCTGTAATGATTGTAATTGTCATAATCGTTGTAAATGCCATAATAGGTTGTAATTATCGTAAAAATATAAGTAATTGTGTGTTGCACGTTCTTACAGACGTGTAATAGCTTACAAAATTTAATGATAGATGAACGAAAATCGACTCTTATACTTTAAAATTTTTTAAATAATAATCTTTAAATGTTTGCATTTAAATGCCACCAGAAGAAAAATGGACTTTGGGTTTTCAAGTTTATAACTTAATGACACAGCTCCTAAAAATCTAAATACGTGAGTTCTTTAAGTAATAAACTCGAAAGATCAAAACTTGGTTCTCTTTTGAAAGTACTCTTAACACGGAGAGGTGCGTTGTAATATATTGTAGATTTGGTGCATGCCATGGTTTACTGTCAATGCACATGGTTATTTGGCGTACTTGTTTTGAAATTAGCAATTCATATCTGACATTCTTTAATTTCGTAATAATCTATATGATTACAAAATTTTAAAATCACTGAAATCTCATTAATATCTGGTTGCACCTATTACAATTATTACACCTATTACTGCAAAAAATTACAACTTCGAGATTAAAGATTATAACCTTCCAACTCTAGTAAACCTATTACGGCAGGCAATCTTAGTCACCAGTTTCACCAGCATCTATAGCGTAGAAGTATGATTTACCGCCGCGTTTAACAGAAGACAGCAGAATTCGCAGCCAAATACAGAAATAGGTCTTAATCACTATAGAATGGCACAGAATGTCAGCAAAAATAGGGAAATTTCGGGAAAGTGAATAATTAATAAACATAACGCAATCTAATCTCAAATATTAATCATCATTAACAAGCTTGCATTCATCTTAAACATCAACCTAGGCCTCAATCATTAAAAAAAAATTGTTTATTAGAAAATATTTTTATTCATGTTAAATTTACAAGCATCGTTCAAAAACGTTGTAAATATTTGATTAATTTGAAAATAATTTTTACTAGCATTTTTATATAAGGCCACACAAAGTTAATTTCTTGGTTTTCATAATATAAAATTTCAAAAGTGACCCGGTGCAACCCGGCCTTTTATTTTAAATTATAAAAAATTTCATATAGAAAAAAATATAATAAATTACATCTGAAATTTTTTTTCAAAGGTTTACAAAAACTGACCCGGATTATGAAAACCAAGGTATTAATTTTGTGTGGCCTAATGATATTAGGTATTACTTGTTGTCCGAAACGTACAGGAGGACAATTTTAAATTATTTAAAAGAAAACATTGCTTCGGACCTAATTCTATAAACTCGGTAGACCAAAATTTCTGATTGGACTTGATTTTAACATTAGGGATCAAATTTTTTTTTTTTTTTTTGTCCTTGGATTTTACGTTATTACGTTAAAAAAATGAT